AAGGGGCAGAGTATCACCGGCTCATCCCAGTCAAACTAAATACGGATAATGATAGGGTATCACTTTCAAGTTCTCCTCCAAAACCTCTATTGATACAGTAGACGCTAAAACTTATAAAATGTTCAAAAACTAATAAAGAATATATAAAAATGGAATTTCAAAAATTTCGAATTTACCTGTGCATGTTTATAGACAATTATTTAAGATTCACCCCGTAGTTGTGGCTGTTATCATGTCTTTGAAGTCAAAAGATAAAAATCGGTAGAAGAAAATTATTTTCAATTAGGTGTTATCTGGTGAAGATGTTATCGAAAATGTGTTAGATTCCTGAAAGATCGTAATTAGATGCAAAGTGTTTCCATAAAACATAAATGTATCACTTTTATTACAAAAAAGAAAGTTCCGTTTTAATTTTTTACCAATTCTGGTTTCTATACTTTAATGGTTACAGATTCTAGCGATATGGAGAAGAAATATATACGCGGTGTATGAGTAATAAAAAAAGATACAGTCTATCATTATATTTATGGCTCTATACTCTAAGATTTAATCAAATTACAACATGTCGTGCAGTTTTACATAAGGAATTTGATTAAAAGTCAATCAATATAGATAATTAATCGAAGGTATTTCCTTTATGAAAAGCAGTGCGTCAAGGCAACCCCTCTACACCTTTAACATAACTAAAGTGGTATATCATATCTGTACAATTTTACCGTCTATATCACTAAAACACGACGTCAAGGCCACCCCTCTACACCCTCAACATAACTAAAGTGGTATATCAGATCTGTCCAATTTTACCGTCTATATCACTAAAACACGACGTCAGGGCCGCCCCTTTACACCGTCAACATTACTAAAGTGGTATATCAGATCTGTACAAGTTTACCGTCTATATCAATATAACACTACGTCAAGGCCGCCCCTCTACACCGTCAACATTGCTAAAGTGGTATATCAGATATTATAAGTTTCCCGTCTATATCACTAAAACACGACGTCAAGGCCGCTCCTTTACACCGTCAACATTACTAAAGTGGTATATCAGATCTGTCCAATTTTACCGTCTATATCACTAAACCATGACCTCAAGGCCGCCCCTCTACACCGTCAACATTACAAAAGTGGTATTATATCAGATCTGTCTAATTTTACCGTCTATATCACTAAAACACGCCGTCAAGGCCGCCCCTCTACACCCTCAACATTAGTAAAGTGGTATATCAGATCTGTACAATTTTCCCGTCTATATCACTAAAACACGACGTCAAGGCCGCCCCTCTACACCGTCAACATTACTAAAGTTATTTATCAGATCTGTCCAATTTTACCGTCTATATCACTAAAACACGACGTCAAGGCCGCCCCTATACACTTTCAACATTACTAAAGTGGTATATCATATCTGTCGTTAAAACACGACGTCCAGGCCAACCCTCTACTCCTTCAACATTACTAAAGCGGTATATCAGATCTGTACAATTTTCCCGTCTATATCACTAAAACACGACGTCAAGGCCGCCCCTCTACACCCTCAACATTACTAAAGTGGTATATCAGATCCGTCTGATTTTACCGTCTATATCACTAAAACACTGCGTCAAGGCCGCCCTCTACACTTTCAACATTACTAAAACGGTATATCAGATCCGTCTAAATTCATCATCTATAACACTTTGTATTTATAGTGTTTATTATGCAAATTATGGTCCATTTGTCCCTTAGCACCGTCCTTATCACGTCAGCACATTATTAGAATAGTGCTTAGCTTGCTTTATGCTTAAGTACGAATGATTGTATCATTGTTGGTTCTTGTGTTTTCGTATGGGAGAACATAAAAAATGCTTATTTGTAGCCTCACCTAAAAAGATGAACAAAAAATCTGAAGTAAAGGACTTATAAACAGGGGGCACCAAATTTTCCTTCGAATGATGCGTTCATGATAACACTATACGGATTTGCCCTAGTTTTCTATCATGGGGGAAGCTATGTAGAAAAAATGCACCTGTATATCGTGAGGAGAACACAAAATTAACGTCAATTGGTCTTTTGGGGATGTTATTCTAAATTCATGGTTTGTTTTCCTTTCCGGATTATTGATATCATATATTTGTCTTGAGTAATCCGACTTCGGGCCTTATACAGTCTAATCTTAATTGCCAGTCGAGTAGCTTCAAATACTCATTATTCGTGCTACATTTTAATAGAATATTACATCTCATTATGCACAATGTGCTTAAGGTTTTTTTACGGGTTACACCCTTTTTGAAGCCTCTTTTTGAAGACATCACCCCGTATAGGTTATTGCCATTTTAAAGGTGATCTAAATGGGCTTTAATTTCGTTTATGATGTGACCATATAAAGCGTTGCATCTACAAGTTTCATTTTACTTTTCATTGTGAAATAGTATTTCAAAAGTGCACACACGTGGTGCGTAAAATTGAAAATATCAATTAATCTAGAATAGGAGTATTTAAAATCAAATGCCCAGCTGATTTGTACTAAAAGAAGTCTGAGTAAGGCTATGATAAATGTTTACAATTTTCATCCAAAATTTATAAGAATGAATATTCAATTTCAAAAGTTCTGTCTGAAACTCGGAATTATGGAAGAATAAGAGGACTGTTTAATGAGTACTGTAACAGATATAGCCAACAGGGACCACCTGGGAATTTGTTACAGATATATTTGGACCTAAACTAAGATGCTCATGGTTGTTTTATACGTTTTAGGTAAACTTTTAGGGGTTGCATTTTACCGAAAGTGGATATAAACCCATGAAACGTGTAAAATTACTCTGACCATCTTAGTTTATAGGTACAAACATGTAATGTAGCCCAAACAGAGCGAGAATCTAAACCTACGAATTTTCCCGGATAGGTACATGTTTTGTAACTGTTTCAGCAATTATTCATAAAACCATGGGATGTAAAATTTAATTATGAAAAATATTTCAGAGCTAAGCTTTATTCTCTGAGCGAATCTTGATTCGCCGAGCCGAGAGCTGAACATCAGATTTTGTAGTAGTATATTACAGAACTAAGAAAGACAACTCTTACGCTGACAAGTCGTAATCGATTAGACGGGTTTCTATTATAACATCGGAGGCACATGTTACGTCAAAAGATCCCCACCCCATGGCCTCGGTCGACTCGGAATATGTGTATTTTGTATCTACATATTTGGGATGGGGATAATATATACGTGTCACGCCCTTTTACCTAATAACTATTTTTAATGTCTGCGACTGTTCTTTATTCTACTTCATCTTCATGTAACTAGAGAAGAACTGACCAAAATAAACAATAAAGCTCCACCCTGGTGAAACTCCCGCTTACAGGAAATTTAAAAAACAATTATTAAAAAGTCATTTTGTTGATATTTGAAATAAAACGTTTCTCCTGTACTATATATACCCGTGAAATACGATCGTGCGAGCTCGAGGCTCAGTTAATGAAACGACGGGCACTACAGTACTTGGTCTAAGTATACAGCTGTTATTAATCCTACTGATCTTATAAATATTGATTTTGTAATTGCAGTGTACATGGTATTTTTATGAGTATAGATATTACAAACACTAAAACACTTTATATTGCGACATTGTCTCATAGGCTGTATGCTATTGTCAAAAGATCACCATAGATATTTTGTTTAGTCAAAATATGTTTATAGGTTTCCATCATATTGGACACCTGTGACCTCGAATGTAGGTGAAGGTCATACATTTGGACAAACTCAAATCCTTCTTCCAGTATGCTTCTGGACAAATATCATCACCCTAGGCCTCCTGGTTATTTAAAAGTTAATTAAACGTTTGTCAACATATTTGACTCCCCATAATCTTGAATGTGGGTGAAGGTCATTCATTTGCACAAACTTGATAGCCCTTCATTCAAGAATGCTACTGTCCAAACAGCATCACCCTAGACTTTATGGTTATTCAGAAGAATTCAATACCATGACCTTGAATATGGGTGAAGGTCACTCATTTGAACAAACGCGATAGCCCTTCATCCCAGCATGCTACTATCCAAATATCAACAAATGCGTAGACCTCTTGTTAACGTATTTGTTTAAAGTAAAATGTTGACGCTGGACGGACAATTCGAACCAGCAGATGAAGGCCACTGCACCACGGCATAAGGTAACTCGGTCCTACCAGGTGGGCTACTACCAATGGCAAACAAGTCAATTATCCTTCAGTATTGTCTTATAACCAGGTTAACATACTATAACCGGGCGTGAATTGTACAATTATGTACCATTTATATCATATCAGGTAGTTTTGTGATCATATACAGGGCTTTCAGAGAACAAGAGGCCCAGAGGTCCCGTATGCTAACTGGAATTTGAGCAATCATGGGGAAAATATTCTCAATAAACGTACTTTTGCAAACATTTTTCAAAATATTGGATCTCCTTGGCTTTAGAATGTTCCAGACTAAATGAAACTTTATACTACTCTTTCCAAGAATGTTCCTTGTAAATATCATCACCCCGGGCCTCCTGGTATTGCGGAAGCTGTTTAAAGATATTTACATATTTGACCCCTGTGACCGTGAATGTAGGTCAATATAATTTATATGACGAAACTTTATATCACTCTGTCCTAGATTCCTATGGAAAAGTATCAGTACTCTGGGCCTTCTGGTTATTCTGAAGAAGATGTTTAAAGGTTTTAAACACGTTTGACCCTTGTGATCTTTAATGTAGGTCAAGGTCATTTATTTGAGGAAAATGTATAACACTTCAACTATGTTTTTTAACTCTTGAATTCGAAGGACATGTCAATTTGACATGTGTTTTGGCTCCCCAAAACGCAGGGGAAATTCTATTTGACTTCTGAAATTGCTTAATGTCTAGAGTCAACTAAATGCCCTTATACACACAATGTCTTACATACCAAGTATGCATTGTATACAATACACGGCCACTTGGAGGAAAATATTAATCCATGTTTTCTTAAATGTAAATCAAAAACAAACAAACAAGATGTGATTTTAGTTTAAGTTTAATATTTACAATGATCTATTTGTAAACACTTAACAAGTTTCACAATAACTCGCTAGCAAAGCATTCAGTAATAAATCTTCATAATAAATAGTTGTTTCGATTTGATCTGAAATACTTTGTGTAATGCAAAACAAAAGAGTTTTAATAATGAGCTATTTGAAATCTATGATTATATGTAAAAAGATTGCCTCACGTTTTGAGAAAACATGAAGCGTCATCCATTTCATAGGCAAGCCATATTTGAGACTGTTTTTGGACTGACAAACATCTAACCAGTACCATCTTGGTACTCTTTTAACTCTCAGGTAAAGGCAACACGATCTGACCGCTGGTAATGAAATCGTAATATCAGAATTTTTCACCATGGACATGTTAAAACCAATGGACTCAGAACATTACAATGGAAACTTACCATACCTGATAGTCATTTTTTCAACCAAACTAAAATTGTTCCTTTTTTTCTTTTATCAATTGTTGCAATTATAAATCATGGGATGTGCTGCTTTACAATAAAACCTGTTTAGGCCCGACAGGGAAAATGTGGCATACACCTTTAAATCAATGCAGGTTTAGCCTGCATGCAGGAATGATTATACTCCCTCCATGATCACTCTGTACAAGTTCTGTGTATGATCAGAAAAAAAATATTCCCATGTATGTTTTATACAAAATAAACAAAGACAGATGAGGGTTTCCATTAAAAGGAACGAGGGGTTCTAGCTTGGATATTTTTCAAAATTTCTGGCACTTGCAGACAAAAAACATACATTCTGATCATAAATATACCATAGTAAGTATTCATGAATCTATGTTAGTGTAGATTTGGAAAAAAATTATTTTCTGCCATGATTTCAATAAAGTTTAAAAGTTAATAACGATTAATGAGATTGCCCGGTAGTTGTCCATCTATTTGGTGTCTGTCTTCCAGGAGTTACTTCCCTTCCATCATACCATTCATCACAGTAGGTTTGTTTTTCAGGAGTTACTTCCCCTACATCATATTCTATCAGCACATTAACGTGTGATGAAAACCTTGCATCGATTTTTCACATCTTGTCACTAAGTTTTGGTGGTACTCATAAACACAGTCATACAAATACCGCTCCCTACACTATTTTGCTGCCTGCGGAATCTGTGGTAATCCGAACTCATCCACCGGTACATCCTGCAAAAAAAAAAAATTATCGTGGTAAATTATTTTCAAACTATTAAAGTGATAAACATTTATACATTTATTTATATAAAATAAAAGGAATTGCTACAAGGAATCTGTGTATATATGGCAGCCATTATAAAAATATATACTTTATAATTGGAAAAATTAGAAAAGGCGAAAAAATTCTGAGCACACTTAATAAAATTAGACAGTACACTTGAGTATTTTTTTATGTCCATGCAACTGCTTATTTGCTAACATGGCAGCTACATGCCTCACTTTCATCGTTACTGATGCTGACACCTCAAACAAGCAGGTACATCAACTCATACACAGTGAACCTCATTATAATGCTACCATTTGCCTAGCAACATGTTTTATAATTGCCGGACAATATGTAGAGGGAGGTGTATAAAGCATTAAAATTAAAGGACAATGATATCTTGAAATATGTTTGGCAGTCAACGAGATGAACGGGTTAACTGTTGTAACATCAGTACTATAAAATATCAAATCTGTGACATGGTCAAAATCATTGAACCATGAAAGTTTGATATTGTAAAACCTGGGTGAAATACATGTACATGTACATACAGTAAAACCTCGTTATAATGCCACTATTTTGTCCAGAAAGATTTTGGCATTATAATGGAGTCTGGCAATAGATTGAGGGAAAGGTATAAAGAAATGATTAAGAAAACAAGAAAAAGGGAAATCGAAATATGTTGGCAGAAAAAGAGGTGGTAAATGAATGAGGACAGTATACCTTAGTTTTAATGCATATTATACATACAACAGATAAAGAAAGAGATATGTACGCTCAAAGGAATAATCGCTTTTGTTCATTTGTTTCCCTTTGATATTTTGTCACTATATAACGTGTCTAATTTATATTAACCCTTTCACCACTGTAGACCATAATGGACTCATCCAGATCAATGCATGGAAGAGTTCACTAAAGTTACATAGGGGTGAAAGGGTTAAGCTTTTATCTTTTAAAAAGACAGACTTCCAACATTTTTATACACATTCCTCTAACTGTCAAATATGATTTATCCAACAAAAGGTCATTTATGTTTATAAGTTAAAACAATGAGCAGAATAGAACCACAAATTAATATAAAGACTGCAGCATAATCCACATCACCTATTGAAGACTTTGTTTGGTCTTATAACAGTACATTTTTACGCCCCTTACCTAATTCACCCTGAAGACACATTTGCACTCTTCCAATTCAAAGGTTGGAATAGTTCATTATGAAATTTCAGGGGTGAATGAGTAAACTCAACAGATCAACTCTTAACCCACATTTACAACCTTTTTGTAATGATATGCTTTTAGGATTGTATATGTATCACCGACTCAATCAAGCTTTTAGGATTGTATATGTATCACTGACTTAATCGAGGTGACAATTTGGCCCATCTTACCCGTGAACTGTCTGCGCCAGGTTCTGAGGAGGGTATTGAGGGCGCGGCGACGGCATCGTCAAGATAGGAGGTATCCTCGTCAAGGCCCATCTCATCACCAAGGGCATCTAATTCGGCCTCCAGCTCGTCATCGTCCACCTCCGGCATTCCGTAGCTGCGGCCCATTATCTCTTGTATCTCGCTCGACTGTTCCGTAAGGTCCTCAAGCTCATCTTGTAAATCCTAAAAAATAAGAGAAATTGCTATGTTGATTCTTTTTTATATTAGGATTTATCAGCTTTTTTACAATGTTTATGCTGGTATGAATGCTTATTGGTTACACACTTACCTGAGTTTTTACCTTATAAAATCCATAAACGGCAGAAAAAAATATCATAATAAGCGGGGTCCTACCTTGGACCATATCATAATAAACGATAATTTTTGCTTAGTTAAAGAAGGAAAAAATCGGAACATGGGGAAAATATCATAATAACCGATATATCATAATAACCGATATCATAATAAGTTGGTTCCACTGTACCATGAAGCCTTACTGTAAGACTTAAACTGATGTAAGATCATGTCCTCTGCACATTTCCCAATGGGTTAAAGGAGGGTGATAGTAGGTATATCAAACGTGACCCTTGATCTGCTCACTTTGTTTTTGATTCTGTAAATATCACCATTGCCTCAGTGCTTCACCACTTAATGCAGTGTAATCAGGGTATCATCATCAATTTTATTACACGTTTCACACTCCTTTGATGGTGGCACTGTAATGCACTGGGTTTGACAACATCACCAGTTTTTTTGGTAGAAAAGTACAAAAGAAAAACAATCAATCATTCCTGTGTGATGTACTGCAGAAGGTACAGGAGGATTTGATGAGCACTATATGACAGAAATCTTATCCCAAGGGTTGAGATTTCTCTTAGCAGGAGGATTCAATGAGCACTATATTTCAGAAATCTTATCCCAAGGGTTGATATTTTTCTTAGCAGGAGGATTTGATGAGCACTATATGACAGAAATCTTATCCCAGGGGTCGAGATTACTGTATCTACATCACACAGGAGTGATAGATTCTATTTAACATTATAAATACAGGTGGATGAAAACATTATCTCACATGAGATATTTGTACCTCCCATATGTAAAGGAAAAAGTAAGAACTTGTGCCTAAGTATTAGCTCACCTCAATCTTGTCAGCCTAAGTATTAACTCACCTCAATCTTGTCAGCCTAAGTATTAACTCACCTCAATCTTATCAACCAAAGTATTAACTCACCACAATCTTGTCAGCCTAAGTATTAACTCACCTCAATCTTGTCAGCCTAAGTATTAACTCACCTCAATCTTGTCAGCCTAAGTATTAACTCACCTCAATCTTGTCAGCCTAAGTATTAACTCACCTCAATCTTGTCAGCCTAAGTATTAACTCACCTAAATCTTGTCAACCTAAGTATTAACTCACCTCAATCTTGTCAGCCTAAGTATAAACCCTCCTCAATCTTGTCAGCCTAAGTATAAACTCACCTCAATCTTGTCATTAACTCACCTCAAGCTTGTCAGCCTAAGTATTACCTCACTTAAATCTTGTAAACCTAAGTATTAACTCCCCTAAATCTTGTCAACCTAAGTATTAACTTACCTCAATCTTGTCAGCCTAAGTATCAGCTCACCTCAATCTTGTCAGCCAAAGTATTAACTCACCTCAAGCTTGTCAGCCTAAGTATTAGCTCACCTCAAATCTTGTCAGCCTAAGTATAAATCCTCCTCAATCTTGTCAGCCTATGTATTAACTCACCTCAATTTTGTCAGCCTAAGTATTAACTCACCTCAATCTTGTAGGCCTAAGTATTAACTCACCTCAATCTTGTCAGCCTAAGTATTAACTCACCTCAATCTTGTCAGCCTTAGTATAAACTCACCTCAATCTTGTCAGCCTAAGTATTAACTCACCTCAATCTTGTCAGCCTTAGTATTAACTCACCTCAATCTTGTCATTAACTCACCTCAAGCTTGTCAGCCTAAGTATTAACTCACCTCAATCTTGTCAATGTTGACATGTTTGTACTCCTTCTTAAACTGCTTCACTCCGATCTTCATGGCATCCACCTTATATGATAAAACGGTAAGAAAATGTCAAAAAAATACAACAAAAATGGTAACTGTTCAGGTTCTAAACCAGGAACGCTCTGGTTCTTTATAATAGTTATTTGCATAGGTGTCAGCCTCAAAAAAACTCCAATGAGGGAGATCTCCCTCGTTCCACATTACCAATGAGGAAGAAAGTGCATGAAACACGACTGAAGCTGCTTTGCTCAATTTTTTCCCCCCTTATTACGTATCAAAATAACTCCAAAAAGCATTTATTTGATTCAGACACACCTGTTATGATCATTACACACACCCTGCAGTAACTAGGAGATCATTTGACCACAGGATGTAGATTTTTAATTTGTGTGAGTTTAGACTTGAATGAGGGAGTTTCGAGGGATATTGGTAAATTTTGGTCAAACAGAGGGAGTCCCGATATCCCTCCTAATGATCCCGAGAGGGTTGACAGCTATGTTATTTGTACACAAACAATTATCACATGCAGAGTGTTCAATATACGTAGATAAATTCTTTAATTCATGAGGATAATTTAGAGCTAGAGTGAGTCCCTGGTGTATTAATACAGGGTTTGACACTAACAATAGTCCTCTAGCCCGAGACTTGTAGCTTTCACTAAGTACCAGTGAATCATCTAAGCTAACTGGTCCTTTGGACTTGTTAATAAAAGTATGTAAGCGCAATATCATTTGACAGAAAAGGTTATAAAATAACGATATTTTTAGGGGGAAAATTGCTCAAAATACAGACATATTGTATATTTGTCAAAAGTTTCCTAAAACTTCACCATATTCTTATATATGACAATATTTAATTCATATCCCCTCAGGTCAATTACTTTTAATGTTTCTTGGTGAAAACGTTCCCTTAAGGAAATGTTGGCCTATTAACATTGATATAGGACTGGCAGATAACCTAGTCAGCTAGTCCTGTGGACTTCCAAGAACAGATCGTTAGTGTCTAATCCCGCTATATATCATGAAACTAACATCAGTGGTACACGTACAGATACATTGTCAAAAGTATCAGCACAACATCATCTTCAGCTATTCCGTCTTTGCGTATTGCAGAGTTATCTTCTCTTGATAGCAGGTATTGATTGTTACGTCACTTGTTTGTGAGAGTAACGTCATCAAATTTTGAGAAAACGACGTAATTTTCTCGCACAAACCAAATGACGTAGCAATCAATACCTGTTCCCAAGAGAAGATAACTCTGCAATACGCAAAGACGGAATAAGTTTAACAATGTTACTTCAAATGTGATGTTTACATTAAGGAAAAGCACGTCAAGGGATTAATGCAAGAGTAGAAAGTTTTGACACTTTGCAATGTACAATGTACAATACTTACCGTGGTTTTGGTATCTTTCAATGACTGAATTGCGTAGCTTTGTTGTTCAATGTTGAAACCCTGTTGCATTAGATTATCTCTTTGATTTTCATACCTGCAGAAAAATAACACAAAATACATAAAAGGATCTTACATTTACAAGTCTGTTCTCATTAAGAATGCACTCAACTGAGAAGTCAAAAGTTTCTTTTCTTGTTATATGCATTTTTGGAAAAAGGATTTAATAGTATAGTAGAAAATACAAATAGAATTATATGTCTGTGTGTTCGATTTTGTGCTATGATCTGTCAATGATACCAATTTCACATGATATGTGGTTTTAGGTGAATGTTTTGGTTTTGACCGCCAGTTGCAGAACAAATCTATACAATATCTTCCAGATGTGTAACCAGATATGTATGAATGTTTGCAGAATTAATAAAAATAGTATTTTCTTTTAGACTATGGCAGAAAAAATCCAAAACTTATTCTTTTAACTAGGAAAAGTAATTTTATTTACCCCTATTTCATCATTTTGTGCAGATATAATGCTTTGATATAAAAAAAGTTCTTTGTTCTCTCTGATTATTATTTGTGTTTTTCACCTTTTTCAGGGTCAAAAATCAAGTGATTCAGTTACACTAAATATGTTAAAATTAAAATACCAATAATATACATTTTTCCATTTTGTTGCCTATCACCATCATATTGAACAGTATGAAGTTGTACAGCAAAAATGAACTTGCTACAACTAACAAGAGGCCCATGGGCCTAAACGGTCACCTGAGTTAACAGTATTTATTTTTGTTGTTGAAATATGTACCAATTTGAGTAAAAAATAGTATAATGTTAACTTAACTTTGTCAGGACCATGAGCTGATCATTCCTAGACCAATTTTAAGTGAGATCGGCCTATTAGAACTTAGTAGCAAAATAGCGGCCATGGCAGCCAAATTGTATTTCTGATTGACCCGAAAAATAACAACACTTTGTCAGGACCATGAGGCGATCATTCCTACCAACTTTCAGTTCAATCGGTCCAGCAGAACTTGACTTTAAGTTTGAAATAGGTTTTCAAAATGGCGGCCGTGGCGGCCATATTGGATTTCTGATCGACCCGAAAAATAACAACACTTTGTCAGGACCATGAGGCGATCATTCCTACCAACTTTCAGTTCAATCGGTCCAGCAGAACTTGACTTTAAGTTTGAAATAGGTTTTCAAAATGGCGGCCGTGGCGGCCATATTGGATTTCTGATCGACCCGAAAAATAACAACACTTTGTCAGGACCATGAGGCGATCATTCCTACCAACTTTCAGTTCAATCGGTCCAGCAGAACTTGACTTTAAGTTTGAAATAGGTTTTCAAAATGGCGGCCGTGGCGGCCATATTGGATTTCTGATCGACCCGAAAAATAACAACACTTTGTCAGGACCATGAGGCGATCATTCCTACCAACTTTCAGTTCAATCGGCCCAGCAGAACTTGACTTTAAGTTTGAAATGTAAAATGTTAACGGACGACGACGGACGAAAACGGATAGCAATAGGTCACTTGAGCTAAAGCTCAGGTGACCTAAAAATGGTGACACAATGACAATTTAAGTGATCAATCTAGTTTCAAAAAAGGTGTAATTTTGGCTTTTCATGAAGGACAAGAAATGTAACTAATAATTATATTATGTTTGTACGTTGCAGGTAGCAGTCATCCTTTAGATTAAAGAATTCAAAAGAAGGGAAGATGTTAATTCTCATTTAAAATATACATTTTCAAAATGGCCAACGAATTGGTACATACTTAAGAGGAAATTGAATTGAATGCTCTATTATGAAATGTACTAACAAAGAACCATAACTCTGTATTCTGTAATTCTGGATTTTCTATGAATGTTCCGTACTCACGTCTTTTTTTGTTTCAGCACTCGCATCGCTTTCTGTTTGACCATATTCTGGAAGAAAGAAATAATGAAAGGATTCAGAAACTACTTTGTTTAACACAAGCCCAGAAATGTAGTCTACTATATTTTCATTCCTATAAATGTAGTCTACTATATTCTCATTCCTATAAATGCATATATACAATATTATAAGTCTTGAACACTGCCTATAAATAGAATCTTGAAATTTACATATAAACTAGACATGTATCCGGGTTTAACTGAATGTATTAATTGCAATCCTACAACAGATATCACCCCATAAATGTATTCTACCATATTCTCATTCCCATAAATTTAGTCTACTATATTCTCATTCCCATAAATTTAGTCTACTATATTCTCATTCGTATAAATGTATTCTACCATATTCTCATTCCCATAAATGAAGTCTACTATATTCTCATTCCTGTAGATGTAGTCTACTATATTCTCATTCATGTAAATGTAGTCTACTATATTCGCAGTCCTATAAATGTATTCTACTATATTCACATTCCTATAAATGTAGTCTACCATATTCTCATTCCTATAAATGTAGTCTTCTATATTCTCATTCCTATAAATTTATTCTACCATATTCTCATTCCAATAAATGTATTCTCCTATATTCTCATTCCTATAAATGTAGTCTACTATAGTCTCATTCCTGTAAATGTAGTCTTCTATATTCTCATTCCTATAAATCTATTCTACCATATTCTCATTCCAATAAATGTATTCTCCTATATTCTCATTCCTGTAAATGTAGTCTTCTATATTCTCATTCCTATAAATTTATTCTACCATATTCTCATTCCAATAAATGTATTCTCCTATATTCTCATTCCTGTAAATGTAGTTTACTATATTCTCATTCCTATAAATCTATTCTACCATATTCTCATTCCAATAAATGTATTCTCCTATATTCTCATTCCTGTAAATGTAGTTTACTATATTCTCATTCCTATAAATCTATTCTACTATATTCTCATTTTTATAAATGTAGTCTACTATATTCGCAGTCCTATAAATGTATTCTACTATATTCACATTCCTATAAATGTAGTCTACCATATTCTCATTCCTATAAATGTATTCGACTATATACTAATTCCTATAAATGTAGTCTACTATATTCTGATTCCTATAAATGTATTCTTCCATATTCTCATTCCCATAAATTTAGTCTACTATATTCTCATTCATGTAAATGTAGTCTACTATATTTTCATTCCTATAAATATAGTCTACTATATTCTCATTCGTATAAATGTATTCTACCATATTCTCATTCCTATAAATGCAGTCAACTATATTCTCATTCCTATAAATCTATTCTACCATATTCTCATTCCAATAAATGTATTCTCCTATATTCTCATTCCTGTAAATTTAGTCTACTATATTCTCATTCCTGTAGATGTAGTCTACTATATTCTCATTTCTATAAATGTATTCTACCATATTCTCATTCCAATAAATGTATTCTCCTATATTCTCATTCCTGTAAATGTAGTCTACTATATTTTCATTCCTATAAATGTAGTCTACTATAGTCTCATTCCTGTAAATGTAGTCTACTATATTTTCATTCCTATAAATGTAGTCTACCATATTCTCATTCCTATAAATGTAGTCAACTATATTCTCATTCCTGTAACCGTAGTCTACTATATTCTCATTCCTGTAGATGTAGTCTACTATATTCTCATTTCTATAAATGTATTCTACCATATTCTCATTCCTATAAATGAGGCCTTCTTTATTTTCATTCCTATAAATGTAGTCTTCTATATTCTCATTCCTATAAATTTATTCTACCATATTCTCATTCCAATAAATGTATTCTCCTATATTCTCATTCCTATAAATTTATTCTACCATATTCTCATTCCCATAAGCCAACGAATTGGTACATACTTAAGAGGAAATTGAATTGAATGCTCTATTATGAAATGTACTAACAAAGAACCATAACTCTGTATTCTGTAATTCTTGATTTTCTATGAATGTTCCGTACTCACGTCTTTTTTTGTTTCAGCACTCGCATCGCTTTCTGTTTGACCATATTCTGGAAGAAAGAAATAATGAAAGGATTCAGAAACTACTTTGGTTAACACAAGCCCAGAAATGTAGTCTACTATATTTTCATTCCTATAAATGTAGTCTACTATAGTCTCATTCCTGTAAATGTAGTCTACTATATTTTCATTCCTATAAATATAGTCTACTATATTCTCATTCATGTAAATGTAGTCTACTATATTTTCATTCCTATAAATATAGTCTACTATATTCTCATTCGTATAAATGTATTCTACCATATTCTCATTCCAATAAATGTATTCTCCTATATTCTCATTCCTATAAATCTATTCTACTATATTCTCATTTTTATAAATGTAGTCTACTATATTCTCATTCCTATAAATGTATTCTACTATATTCTCATTTTTATAAATGTAGTCTACTATATTCTCATTCCTATAAATGTATTCTACTATATTCTCATTCCTATAAATGCATATATACCATATTATAAGTCTTGAACACTGCCTATAAATAGAATCTTGAAATTTACATATAAACTAGACATGTATCCAGGTTTAACTGAATGTGTTAATTGCAATCCTACAACAGATATCACAATCTTAGAGGCAATTAGTAACCTTAATATGAATGATCGGAAAACATGTCATTTTGTATCATTTTAGTTTTCTTATACTGTTATAAATTCAGATAGCAGACTGTTATAATGTGCATTGTTGGCCCAGATTTTAGCGTGCAGGACGTGGGTCTTAGTTTGGGAGGAAACTGAAGTACCCGATGAAAACCAACGTGTCGATATGATTACAGAACAAAAGGAAATGGTCGTAAGAATGGATATATATATTTTGATTATGAAATTTGTGATGTCAAGATAACAAGTTTGTATAGTCTACATGTTCAAGTATGACATTTGGGTAACTAGCATGATAATTATGTAGTCTGTCAACTCCAGCAGTCAAATCATGGACAAATAAAAATAAGGCTGATGTACATCAACGTGTTAAAATATGTGAGAGATGACAATTATATCGACTGATTGATTCGGATATATATAGGTATATACATATATAAGCCTATGGGTCAAAGAAGTAATATAGACGGTAAAATCCCATATAACACTGGATCCTAATGGAGGTATGTCCGTAGGATACGAATTACTTAAAATAGTACAATAGAAAATTTGACAACCTAAACTTGTCCACACTGTTGGAATTACTTCTTTGCCCCATATATATAAGTCTATGTACATTTCAGTGAAATGGTTGAACCCTGGTCACCTTGGTGAAAGGAGAGTGTTATAAAACCTGATCATCCCCCACCTACCTCCCCCCCAAAATGACAACTGACTCTTGGGTTTGACAGGACATTTCTATATGACACGTGTTTTGACACTCTTAAATACAAGGAAAATGTTATTTGAGTTTTGTAATTACTAAGTGTCAAGAATCAACTAAAAGTGCTATAATATGAATATATACATACTTTGGCTGGTCCATCTCTCATCTTTTTCATCTGATTTTTATATTTATTTAATTCTGCATCAAGTCTGCCTATCTTTTTGTCCATAGACTCCCCTCGACTGTCAATCTGTGAAGAAGAAGAAATCATAAATAAAACTTTAAGACACTTAACCAAAATAATGGGTGAATTAAGTACCTCACTTGACAAATAATATAAGCATAAACGTTTGTAACAGGTAATCATAAATGTTTCCAAGATAGCATCATAGATATTGATATGTAGTATTAGTATACTGCTACATGCACCAGCAGTACTAGTACTAATATTAATACCCGGCCTTTTCGGCCTAGTAAATGGTAATGTTCTTCTTCTTTATATCATCCATTACAAGGATCAGAACTGCAAGGTTGAAGTGCAATTGACCCTGGGAGGTCGCACTTCAAATAACATTGTTTTATAATTTTTAGGTAAATATTATATTAAAACTATGTACATATCGAGGATGCAAAATTAGTAGAGAGACTGGTGGTAACCTTCAAGTGAGGACTTGAAAGAAGGTAATTCCTCACTAAGGGCCAGTGACGTTGGTAATGAGTTCCAGGTGATAATAGTTCTTGGGAAAAAAAGAGAATTTGTAGGCGTCTTTTGCGGTAGATATTTATGCTTGTTTTATTTTAACAACTGGTGTACAAAATGATACACAAAACCTGAATATCTCTTAGATACGATTAAGTTGTAATCACACCAAGTTTTTCTGTTACCAACAACAAGTACCAATTTCATTGGCATCCCTTATAGATTGCCAAAGGGTAATTTCACTTTCGAATAGATTGACAGGTCCAGTACACTCTGCCGATTGAGCTATATAGCTTTAAAGACCTATATAGCTATATACACCTATAAGTTATAGCTGTATTGAGCTATATTTTCTCAGATTTCAAATTTCATTAAATTAAAGCAAAGTCGCATAAAACAATAAGGTTTATGGTAATGTTGACTACAAAGAGCATACAGTTAGATGTTTATTTTCATTTTTCATAAATGTAAAATTTCCGATTTTTTTACACCATTATTTTTTTAAAAGAATACTTATATTTAATGTCTTTTGTTATCAACCTAATGATACAATCTTCTTTTAAAAGCGACTTTGTTTCGTTTTCTTTAAAAAAAGAAAATCACTTGAAAATAGGTCAAAAGACCTATTTCAGATAGGTCAATAGAGCTATTATAGGTCTTTACAGCTATATAGCTCAATCGGCAGAGTGTACTGGACCTGATCAAAATTGTCATATTATATAGACACCAGTTATGGCAATATGATATTACATTTGTCAGCTTTATTTTGCTACTGAATCAGATAACTTTAATAAATGCAGATATGGAATTACATTCCAAAGTGACGGGCACATGACTTTTGTGAAAATTGGTCATATGCATTTTATTGCGTATTTTGAGGAATGAACATCTCCTTTGATTACTCACGTTCGCTACACAGTCATTGAGATTCGGTGGTGGAGCCTTGTCTTTGCCTTTTCCAAATAGTCGGTTCATTTTCGCTGATTATTCTGTTATTTGAGGAGAAACTGAAGTGAAACGGATTTCACACCGATGTCAGGAAGTAAACAGAGCAAGAGTGATTAAGAATGACGTCACATCCGGTAGGGACCATTTATAATTTCGTATATGATTACGTTATTTATAATGGATCGAATACACCAGTCTTACAATATAACATTACTGTTCATCTTTATTAAACTATTGAGTGTTTATTATCAATACAGTTTTGTAAATATGCAAACAAGAATCGAAAAGAAAACATGAAATGCATAGGTAATTAATGTATGGTCCCTTCAAACGTCACGATTCCATCACCTGACTGTGACTGGGGTATGACAACGATAGGTGATAGCTTGAACTGACACCTTATTTATAAATCACACGTGCTACCCCATTCATAGCAATTGTGTCGTATCGCATATACAAAAAAGAACACATATTTATTTGTAAGTATGTAATAAATGTGATTATTAACAAAATTGAATAATCAAATCTATTACATACTTACTAATAAATATGTGGTTTTTCTGTATATGCGATACGACACAATTGCTCTAACCCATATCAGCCTTCGCCGTATCACACCCCAAAATCCGTATCAGACCCCACCGTATCACACCCCAAAATCCGTATCAGTCCTCTCCGTATCAGCTCGCAAAACCCCGTACCACAACCCTTTTGGATTTTTTTTCGTTTTTCAATAGTTAAAAAAAAAAAGATCATAAGATAGTAGCTTTTATTAGTAAGTATGTAATAAACATAATAAAACATGCCTTTTTTCCATATCACACCAAGTATCAACCCTCGACCAATATCAGCCCGAGGGCTGATATTGCAGTCTCGGGTCGATACTGGGTGTGATATTGAAAAGGGCATGCATTATTCTCTATGTAACGTTGTGATCAACTGTGCAGAGTACCTATATGGCCATTTTGATTCTGTACAAAAGTACAAGTAGGCCTACATATGTTTATAATTTTATACAGAACTGCACTATATCATATAAAATATCATATTTGTTCAACCTCAATGTAATTAAATGTTCATTATTCGAATCCATTATATATATGACGGCAGTGTACTGTCGGTCAGCTTTGCTGCAAATTACTTAACGATGTGGATTATATTTTGATAAATGTATCTAAATATGTCAATGTGTAGTTATGAATGTGGCCAACAATTATTAATACAGCTATTTTTATGCTGCATGCGCACAACACAGGGGCTCGGTTTCGGGATACTTTTATACACATTCTAAAACCTACCTCGGTACCCTCAATTTGTACTGATAAGGTTTTAGAATGTGTATAAAAGTATCCCAAAACTGAGCCCCTGTGGTGTACAAGTGATAACAAATGTGATCACCAAATTGGCAAATGACAGTTTTTATATCCCAGCTTCGACGAGGTCGGGGCCGTGCGTCCGTTCGCTGCGTCCGTGCGTCCGTGTGCGTGTGTCCGTCCGTTCTGACTGGTTTCCAGAGCATATGTACCCACTGTTTCATAAATTGACATAGAATTTGTACATACATATAGCTAGGTACATCATAGGAAATCCCAGCTGTCAATCCATTCACAGAAAAGAACTTTTAATATAATACTATGCGCCACTGTGGGAATAATTGTCGTCTTTTTGTATACTCACGTTTACGTGTAATGTCAAAGTCGGGTACCATTTGGTATTTTCACCGAATAATTACATAAATAAAACAATAGTTTTACTGCACAGTTACATGCGTTTATTTTTCCGTAATTATCAATGAATTGCCCGTGTAACGTTCAAAAATATCTTCTTTGTACTCAATTCTCTCATGTATTTGTCCTTCAAAACCTGCGTACCTTCGTTTTTATATTTCTGTTTGACTTGTATTTAGGTGCAACCTATGAAGGCCCAGTTTTAATTTGTACAATATCATAGAACTATACACACACAGAAACAAAACAAACAAACACGTTCTTTAAATTTCTTCTCTCTCCACTCCCTTTCCGTCCATATCTCGTGCTTTACTACACTTTAAGGCCGGCCCTCCAAGGTCTCCTTGGTTTCAAGGTTTCAACTCCCTGATAAATGACACCAATTAAATCGCCATGGATATTGAACTTGTACTTAAAATATTAGAATGGTATCCAACGTTTCTATAACTCTCTAATTCGACATTTATTTTAAAACAATTATGAAACACTTTTTTTCGTACTTTTATTAATTACTCTTGTTGGCCTGGATGGATGTGCGCAGAGGGTCTTAACGGGAAGAAACCTGACCCACAGGAACCCACGTGATCGGGGAGGCGACCATACCTTTCCACAATTTCATCTGGGAATCGAACCCTAGCTGTTTTGTTGAGAGGCGAGTGCGCTAACCACTGTGACACATGTACATGACCACCCATAGTATTGACTCGGACCAGGTCAGAATATAATCATGTGCACTCCAATTAAACATACTACATATTCACGAGAATTTGTTACAGCGGCCATGTTTTGACCTATACTCATGGGAAAAATAGACGTTTTAGGGGTCAAAATCAACCCCTGGGTAAAACATATTTAATGCCACCCCTTGAATTTTCAGAACAGGCATTGGCTATTCTATCCAATCTAATTCCCTGAATAATTCTACATCATTCACTATGTAATGACTAATTCTCTTGGTTATTAACCGTGTTCTGTTGGGAAAGAGACACGCACGCGCATATCGCTCTTCCGAATGCCTATACGTCGGTATTGCAGGTTAAACATGTGAGCCGCGTGTGACTGGTCTTGGAGGAATTAGGTTTATTGAGTGGACACGCGTGTACGTAAATGTACATATCAAAAAGATTCGACATGAGTCTACGTTATATAGGTTAATGTCGCATAACTTGACCACTGATTCCTGCTGAAGAAATCATGACATCAGCTGATATATCGGTTTGTTGGTGAAATGCATAAATGATAAATAAATAAATACGTGACAAATGTTTTGACAGATTATAATATAGGTCGCGATGCCTTATAAACATTGATGTAGATTCAATTACACTTTAGCATGGTAGAATAGAATATATCAACATCAATATGATTTTCCAGCATGGAATATATTGTAACTCAAGATTCGAAAAAAATGGACAAAACAATTAATTTTGGCAATGTGGCCCTCTGTTTATTCACACTGTGTCCGCACTTCCTCTCCCTCATCGTATGTTCATCTGCTGATTATTTCTGAAGTATGTATTTGTATGACATGTGACATAAAAACTGACAAATAAAATATAAAAGTAAGTCTGAACAGGTCTACATGTAACGAAAAGAACTTAATGGAAAAACAGCTTAATTTGACAAATAGATTGACCTTTGTTGAAAATGTCCACCATTAATAAACGATGGTCTGTTTTGTCCTCCCATACATGCACGGCCAGTTTATCGCCCTGAACACTTTCTCCATAGAAATAAATTTGAACTTTGTGAATTCCGTTGGCAAAATTGTCCTCAAAATTCTGCAACGCGCCATTTTGGTAACAGTGGTGGGCTGCATCTACCGCAAAACGTGCGTAGGCTGTCCAGTTGGCGTGGAGGTTTAAATCGGTATCACTCCAAGCTACATTAGTATGATAAATACAGGTTTCGTCAGGTATTTCAAACTTGTTGATATTTAAAGCCTTGTGCTTTTTCCCAGATTCGGAATATTTTTCCCGCCACCACAACGGAAGAGGCATGGGTCGTCTGCTTCGCTTGTCCACGCAGACGATTTGGTTGATATTGGAAGCCATGATTTGTCCACTATTTTCACACCTCATTTCCGTCGAGGCATTCAAAGAAGTTTTTCCTACATAACCGCCCTTAACGCTGGTTTTCATCCAGGGTGTAATCGGGGAAGGCCTGTATATTCCTTTGCTAAGTATAAACTCCGATGTGACCAGAAACATGAGACAATCCTTGGTCATTTGTTCGTAGTCTCTGAAAGTCCGTCCCGTGTCGTCTAGGGGATAGTGATGAGCAAAGAAACGTATAGACTCTAACATCTTCATTATCATCCATATCTTTGGCTGACCTACAACAAACAATCAAATTGGTGTAACATTTTTTCAGTTGCATATTAGTTTTGTTATAAAAAAATCTAGATATTATTTAGCGCATTTATATGGCCACATAATATTGTTCTGAAATTATGATAAAACGCTATTACACATTAATGTTTCCATAATGCTGTGATATTAATCGGAGACCAACAATCTCGATGAACTTAGACGGAAATACATGCATAATTTCTTTGTCCATGGACAGAAATGGTAACGATAGAAAACACATATTGTCCTCACAAAAATGTCTGTTCTACCATTTGATAAAATGCTAAAAATGCTTCAACATCCAAAGGAAACCGCCTAGAAACCATGCTCGTGTGACCTTGAAAAGTTTACACCATATAAGGAAAATCTATACTAGCGGGAAAAAGAAACTGTGCATGCGGAGAATTGTTATAGAACATGTATTACCAACTGTATATACATGAAAATGCACACACATTACCGAGTATGACACATACACACTATCCGTGTGTCATTGACAGTTTTTCCCGTGCAGTTTGATCTCTATAGGCGTTGACCAGTTTGCACGTTTTTCTCGTCCAGCCATCCAATTCGACAATGCAGGTTTATATTTCAACTGTTGGGTCACTCTGTTGAGACCAGTGAACAGTGAAAACAGCATTATAACGTTTTAATTTGTGATTAATGCTATGCCGAGGCTCAATGAAAATGACAGCCTCCGGATTATTGGTATGCTTCAAGCTGGTATGGGCCAAGCCGTTGTCTCTACACGTTTTCATGTCCATCGAAAACACAATCAGGGATTTGTGGAGACGACATCAACAGTTTGGCCACGTCGGCGATCGACCTCGTGCGGAACGTCCACGTGTGACGTCACGTCAACAGGACAACCATATTCAGCTTGTCCATTTGAGAAATCGCTTCCAAACGACAAGTTTGACTGCACGGACAATCCCTGGGTTGCTACCAATAAGCCCGAGAACTGTACGGAACCGATTGCGTGAACGAGCTATCCGTCCGCGACGGAAGGCATCTGCGATTTACTCGACGGGATTGGGCATGTATTTTATTTACGGACGAGACGCGAGTCCACCTGAATAGTAGAGTAGTGACGGCCGTTCCAGAGTGTATCGTCGCGTTGGAGAACGTTTCCGTGACGCGTGTGTGGTACAACGACGTTCTTTCGGCGGAGGCAGCGTTATGATTTGGGGCGGCATCACAGCCAATGGGAGAACGCCTCTGGTGGTTGTTAACGGGAATTTGAACGCGCTACGGTACCGTGACGAGATCCTCCGGACCCACGTCGTTTAATTCGTGCAAGGGCAGCAACGTCACATTACGCTACAGCAGGACAACGCCAGGACACACACAGCTCGTGTCGCTATGGACTTTTTGGCCCAACAGAACGTTGACGTGTTGCCCTGGCCTAATGTATCCCCCGATCTGTCGCCCATTGTACACGTCTGGGATGAAATGAAACGCAGATTACGGGCATTACCTAATCAACCGGTGACGTTGGCTGATTTGGCTGCAGCGTTTATACATATCTGGAATGCCATCCCACAAGCTTTTTTCGAACCGTCTGATAGGCTTCATGCGTCGACGTTGCCAGGCTTGCATTCAGGCAAACGGTGGACATACCAGGTATTAACTTTGTGAGCTCAGTATTGACACCTGCTGTGTTTACGTCACTCCTGAGCGGAACTTATTGATTCCATAACGTGGAAAATGGAATGCAACTGTTAATAAATAACAAATAAATTGTCCCTGAAAACCTTGTTGTTCTACGTCATACACATTCATTTTTATAACACATTTTAGGCATGCACAGTTTCTTTTTTCCGCTAGTATATCTCTAGACTGATGTCGTTCTCGTTACATGGCGCTTTAACCTTAATCCGCCTTTGATGTTTCTGAGAGCCTGTATACCATTAGAGTCGTAGTCGTTGTAGGAGAGACCCGGATGTTTAACCACAGCTTCCGGTACAGTGCTGTCCACGTGCTCAAGGCGGTAGTTCAGTGCCAATAAAGCCTCCTTCCGGTTATTCCTAGAACAACAAAGACACGTAACTTATTATGCCACAAAGCATGTACACATAAAAACGCATCAGCCAAAATTTTGGAGAGTCACCCAAGTGTATACTGAATTTCTGATGGTGTCTGTTTGAAACAGAACAGACTCCTTGCTAGAAAGAGCGCAAGACTGCATGTACTCACAAATCGATCTTCGCTTGTATTGGTGCAAATCAACTCCATGATTAAGTGATCATGACATTGTAAAATAATGTCTGAGGACGAAAGGCTTCATTATATATACCCATATACCCCAGCAATATTTCTCTCCCGACACCATCAAGAGTTCGTGGTCAGCGTCAGTCAGCTTTAAAACATTCGTCCAGCAGAGACGATGCGCTAGATAACCGTTCAATTTTTAATCATCTATGTAATATATATATATAATACAACTGCCTCAACCGTGGAAGTACCTAGCAACACAATGCGTGACGCTTTATCAGTTAAGTTCACAGCTCCTGTCGTCATTTCCCAAAACGTCAAGACATCTTCCTGTCCTTACATTATCATAAATAATCGACAAAATACGACATTTGTGTCAACGAAATAGAAGTATTTAATGATTCACTAACTTCACACAGGTAAAGCCAGTAACCCAGGCAACTTGAAAAATTGAGAACATCCGTACTCAAAAGAATTGGCACCCTGTTTCAAGAAAGACCTCATCTCCCAGAGAACTGGTGGACTGAGATTTTAGAAGTGAAAACCGCGGTAATAAATCAAACCGACATGTCATCCACCTGCGCTTGAAGCCATTCAATTTTAGCTACTAAAACACACTTTATGTCGCGTCCAAATGTTTGCGTCCATGTCATATGGAATTTATTAAACGTGTTCAATAATTTCATATGCCTTTAGGCGATTGTGATATCAATTGATAATTGATATTAATTGATATTACATATAGTTGAGTTCATGAGTTAAAAGCAATCATCATCAGTCGAACGATTTTGTCTTGACGGAAATTCGAACACATTCAAAGATCGACCACCTGACTGTGAAAAGGGCGCGCGGCTGAGGCACGGTACAGGGGCTAGATACGGACCTAGACGTCAATAATGAGGCGCCCAAATATGCTACATCCTTTAAGACACTAAGTAGGAATGACTCAACATCCATATATTCGGATACAAAATGAATAGAACCCACATCTCGAAGAAAAAGAATTGTCGTGTTTACTGTTATATAATATATATATAACATGAACAATAAAAAAGTTACCTAAATTATGTGCTTTCTTTGTCAACATTGCCATAAAACTTAAAGGTTTTATCAATGTGACCTTGTTCTTAGAGCTCTATATGTACAACATGATAATTAAGTCGACAGGGTACACGTGTACTTAATTGGCTTGACCACAACACATGCAGTACCGCAGGTATACTAGCCTCGTCTATCAATACGTGCATGTGTAGGTCTAGGCATATTAATTGACAGCTAGCTAGCTGCTAGACGATCTGGTCGGGGTCACCATGACTTGCACAGCCACGTGGTTTAATGCTACACGTAATAAAAGGACTCGATGCACGTGTACGTACCCGTGCTTCTCGGTATTATCTGTTGAATACAGACGTTTGTGAGCTAAGTTGCCCCGATTATAAAGCATCTGCTTCGCTAAATTCGTGCTTCTTCTCAACACCGTCGGCAACATATCGCTGGGTTTGTTGTGAAATGAGTGTTGGGGCAATTTTATACCCACATTAAAGATATCCGGGGTTACAGAGGTAATACTAGATCACACTGACGTTATTATAGATGTAAAATATCCCAGAATTATCTGGCTTTAGACAGTTGTATTGTGAAAGGAAAATAGACACAGTGTACGTGTATTCCGTCTTTGCGTATTGCAGAGTTATCTTCTCTTTTGAGCATGTATTGATTGTGACGTCATTGGTTTGTGTGAGAAAATTACGTCGTTTTCTCTAAAATTGATGAGGTTACTCTCACAAACAAATGACGTAACAATCAATACCTGCTCACAAGAGAAGATAACTCTGCAATACGCAAAGAAGGAATTGACGACAAAGTTTAGACTAATATTTATCTCCTAAGATTGATATATATCGGCTCGGTGTAAAGGGTTAAACATCCTATCAACAGTAAAGTTCATTTTTGAGTTCTAAAATACTTTCAGATACGGTTCATACAGACATAATGAATGCCAACTGAATTTCAATAAAAAGATGAACCGCCTTTATAATGTCTACGAACCGCACCTGAAATCATTTTAAAGCCTGTCTTTACATTTTCACGTCTTTTTGTCCTTATAGAAAAATAATGACGACACTAAAAAGATATGAATCTCCTATGTCATGTTTTGTATATCAACGATCATAAAAAAAATCTTAAATCATAAGAAAATATTATTGGTCTCGTTTTAATGACGTCACGCCGCGGAGGCTTGTCCGCTCAATAAGAAAATTAAGTAATGCGGTCCTCGCGCTAAGCTTATATCGCCTTCCTGTTATTTGTTGGTAGCGAAGAAAGAACTAAGAGTAAACAAGATATTGATGGTCGACTTCATGTTACAGCTGGAAAGACAAACTTAGCTGATGGTACTGATAGCGACATTTTATGTTTAATTGAAGCGAGCGGACAAGCCGGACAGTGACCTTGTGAAAGCTCGCTTGGTTCTTACTTAGCAACATCGACCTGAGGCATGTCTTAAGACAATATTCATTGTAATTTTGAAATATTTTATTTCGTTTTCAACATGATTTCATATTTGTTTACTATTTTGGTCACGTGCATGTGTGTTGGAGGCAGGGTATAGATGTGTATTTGCCTCCTTACGATAGCGCCGATCTGATACCGGTTTTATAGTGCTACTGTACTTCATCTCTACCCAGAGTTGTCGTTCCTTTTCAATCACACACACACTAAAGGGATTGCAAGGACCATAACTCTGCGTGGATGTTGTGAACTACCATGCCAAAGGCACCCAGCACAGCGTTTCGCCCGGTTACATATACTGACAACGGGTGAACCAGTTGCTGCTATTACCTTACATGCTGAACGTTAAGCAGCGAATACAACAACCAATTTCAAGGCGTTTGGTATGTCCTGGCATGGCGACAGAACCCATCGCCTTCCTCATCTGCGCGAACGTTCAACATCAAAGCCAAAAGTGAGGTATTGTTATATTCTATAGATACACCGTCGAGCTAAATCATTTTGAGCTTATTGTCAATATTTGTAAGCAAAAGCTGAAACATTATAAGGTATAGTTATGCATTTTCATTTTTTTTCATTTTTTTTTTTTTTTACTTTTATTCTTTAGTGTATATGCCAGTACCCCAGCTTAAATATGAATCAAAATAAAATAAAATAGCTTATTTCATTTCAGTTTGATACATGATCGTCTTTACACGTTTTATCAATAACATCAATAACATAACATTTAAACACTCCAAGCCAAACCAGCTTACGAGACACTATATTTCTTTATATGAAAGTCTAATAATATTCATGACATCAAATATTACATTTGTGGATGTTTTCTTCTATTTAAACATTTTACATAAAATGGAAGATAAATTTTGATATTCAAGGAATTCTTATTCCCACAAACCTGGTCTACATTATTCATACTACTTAAAATCTTAAAACGGATTTTTTTATATGTTCAAAGTCATGTAAGAATGTGTTTCATCTATAACGTTTAAATTACAATATTTGCACACGTCTTTGGTCAAAAGGGACTTTTGGGTTACAATATCGCCTGGTTTCTACTGCTCGAGTCAGCTTACCACATCTGAAGGAACTAATTAAGGATGCTGGGATGGGCTCGAGGAATTAAAATATTTATGATATATTTTCTCCGAAAACAGCCGAAATTTCGTAACGTATTTCCATTAACCACCCTTTTCACTCCAAGTTGATATATATACGATGGAGAAAATTATTAAGTATTAGTAATATTTCCACAAACTTAATGGAAGTTGGTAAAGTAGTGAAAGAGTATTTACCATTATCAGTGACCTTATATGACATAGTCATCTATATATATATATCTAGCCAGTAATCCGCCGGAGCCGCCGGAACAAACGGGTGCCACTGAAATTTACAGCACACCGCTTACCCGTGTCTCTCCGTAGGGTTCAAGATATGGAGCGAACCTATGTGACACATGAACAGGGTGAGGTAGATCTGGCGTGCACATCACACATTGTCACCTCGAGCTCACCATCACAAACTTTATATCTAAACCAGCTACCACTAGTCCGACAGGCATGGATAAAGCCAGAGCCGAGAAACTGAGGTTTGTTTGGTAAAGGATGAGAGTGAGAGATATATTTCATTGAATGGATGTTCTTGATCATCATGATGTACCGCAAGCTTTACATACATATATATGTATACGTGTATGTGTCCACCCATCAATCGTACGACATACATATGTACACGTATACGTTTATATTTTCACCCATCAACCGTACGGCACTAAATATAGGAAAATAGTGTTCTCCTATAGGCCTATTACATTGTATGTATAATTTATTATGTTCTGGATGTAGTTTAAGTCTAACCAGGATGGTAGCTTACATATTGTAAGTTAATTCACGTTTATTCATGTACAATGTACAGTATAGTCCTGACACCTGTCTCCGGTGCAGTCGTGTTCGTATATATGATCATTTTTACCGAAAGTCGATTTAAACCCCCAAAACATGTAAAATTACTCTGAACACCTTAGTTAAGGTGTCAAATATAGCTGTAACAAATTCTCAGGTCCCTGTGATATTGAACTGCATTAATTTAGTGCAGTTTCGGATGACCATCATTTCTCGTTACAGTTGTAACCTAATACCTCATGTGATATTATTTATTATTATTATGAGAAGTTCTTTTTACACAACCAATAAAACTTTCTATGTGACGTTTCGATGACTAGTACGTGATATGTACACTGTCACCTTCATCAGACAAATGACCAAAAAAAGAACTTCTCATAATCAATACTTACCAACCTGAAGAAAATGTTTAGAAATACCCATGTACCCAGTATTATTTAGTTGGAATAGGAGGATTCAAATAGAATCACAGGTACTATAGCCTCGTCTGGCAATACACCCTATTATATTATAGGTATATTGACAGACGAGGCTAGTACCTGTGATAGAATGTAGAACCAGAGACGAAGAAACAAGTATAGGTCAAGAAAAATAGTCTGCTAGAATAGAAGAGGCTAAATTCCATAGAATCTCTATTCCGCTTTTGCGTATTGCAGAGTTATCATCTCTTGTGAGCAGGTATTGATTGTTACGTCATTGGTTTGTGTGAGAAAATTACGTCGTTTTCTCAAAAATTGATGACGTTACTCTCACAAACAAATGACGTTACAATCAATATCTGCTCACAAGTGCAGATAACTCTGCAATACGAAAAGACGGAATAGTAGACCCTTTTGTTAAATGTTTAAACTGGAGGGATCGAACGTTTTCTAGACTCCGAAATTCTCTGTCAAGCTTGCACCTCGGAACATTGTGGACGTGTATGTTTACAAGTACTTTAAGTCATGTCTATTTAATTATTTTTTTTGACTGCATTTTGATAACGGGATTTGTACGTATATCATCTTATGGTCGTAAAATTATAGTTTTCCCATCATACATGTTTCACCATTTGAGTAAATTAATGAACATTTTACTTCTGCAAATGTATTTATACTCGACAATTCCTGATTACCAGGGAGATCCGAAAGTTGGCGGCCGGCCATATCCTTGACTGCACGTTCATCTCCGAGGACCAGGATGCGGTGAAGGCTGTCATCCAACATCCGGGCATGGTTTCCGGCGACTATGACGTCAATGGTAGGTTTGTACGAGAATAAGGCACGGAATTAATTGTTGACGACGACGCCTTGCAGTGTATGACGTAATGTCTTTTTGCATGGTTATGACTTCAAGATTCAAAATTGGATATCTTATCTATGTCGCAATCACTCATTTGTCTGACAAAATGCTACAAAAACGTCAGTAAAATGTGAAATATTTAACCTCAAACAACAGAAAATGTTATATCATTTTGATTATTTTGATATATTTTTCTAACATTTTTCCATACATGTAATGGAAACAACATACTGAAGAATATAGCTTTGATAACAACAGAACACACTATGCGTTTTATATTCAATGTTAACGTTCACGATCGATTCCCCTATTTTCTGTATAACCGACCCAGACGCTATTACATGTAGTATCACCTTTGTCTCCGACATGTGACCAATGACATGTTTTCAAAATCCTAAATATAGATATCGAGCAATAAGTAATAAAATGGTCACGGGAAAAACATGCATTGTAGAATTTGTAATCATTGGAGGTTCCGGTGCGAATCGGTTCCGGATGTCCTCAGTTAAATCCTACTTCCATTGTAGTTTCGCAGCTTTCACATCTTTTCAGCACTTGTGTGTCCATTTGCGTTTTGCATTAGGGTTTTTTTCTTTCATGTACATGTACTTTGACCGATCGTCGCCCATCTCTCTACTTTAATTTGTCTCGTGTTACACGGTAGCTGTGGTCAATGATGATGTCCTTTACATATTTTTATATACGCAGAGCATTGATAGATGTTTAGGTGAGAGACTAAGCATACATTTTCTCTGGTCCCAACACCAGACTTTTAACAGTTAGAAGTCTTACAGGTGTGGGTCGTATGTATAAGATGACAAACGCGACCAGAGGGAGCTATTGCTAACGATGACCATGGTCAATGTGGATGACCCCCCCCCCCCCCCTCACCAAGTTACTTCGCGCGTCACAAAACACCAGAGTAATGACAAGGCTACAACCCTCTTGTTTATACTTTGCAGTCATTCGTTCTGACCGATTGTCCGATAGCATCCCTCTTGTCTGTCCACTGGCGTTATTTATGTTCCCCGCACTCACTCAATTCGAGGCTTACAGATGATTGGGTTTTGATTACCCGGACACACATGGTGTTCATATATTGTTTTGTTTATGTTTTCAGGTCAACCCAAACTTTGGCAAATGATGAGGCTGATGGGAGCGGCTAGATTCTTCGCTCACTCCCACCCTCTAGACCAATCAGGCAGAACGTTCAGAGATTTTTCAAAAATGTCCAGTGATAGGATGACATTCATGATTTCTTCAGAAATAATTTTCTACAAAGAACTTTACGATTTCTCCATCAAAAAAACACCTCTTCGAATGCATGTTCTAGGAGGATACATTGGAAGCTCGTCTCTAAACACGATCACCAAAATGTTTGATTCGACAGAAAAAGTCTTATTATCGTCAAGCGTCACACAGGTCGTGAGCATCGATAGAGAGACACGGCGACCGAAACCACTTCCGGATTGGTGGCGGGAGAAATACGCCGCGTCAGCGAAAGAACACGTTTCCCTGAAATTTGACAAGATGGCGCGTCCAGACAATGCTAGTTCGTATGAGTGTCACGTGTCCTGGAGCGATACGGACGCTTATTGTCACACAAATTGGGCGTCATACGCCCGTTATGTCGTTGACGCCGCGCACCATTCATCACGTAAAGGCGATTTGCCACCTTTCGAGGAGAATCTGACGAAAGGTCTACACAGAATAGAGCTACACTATTGTGGCGAGAGTTTTATGGGCGATACTCTCACTGTTTATTCTTGGGAAGATCAGAACAATCTAAACAGTCTTTACTTCGATCTATGCAAGGCCGATAAATCAATATTCCAATGTAAATTTCACTTTTTTGACAGCTAGAATGTAAAGGTACTTGTGCGTTTCTTAAAACTAGTCATATCGGAGATCAAGAGAGTTTTTTTCTATATAGTTGTTGACTCATGTTGGGGTGACATGAGGATTTATATCCAAGAGAGATGCTATCATCTGGTACATTGCTCTTGTGTTGTTGTTTGTTATGATGTATCTGTCAAGTGATTAAAGAGAAGTTGGTTCAAGTTTTCAAACTATAAACAAATCTTTGTTATGAAAATCTTCAATATGGCTGTTCAATCATTGATCATTGACTTACATGCAGAATAAGTGCACATTGTTCGTAATTCATAAACAAAATCAAAGAACAGCTAGGTGACTTGTAAAACTCGCTTGAACGTGTCCGAAAACAAAACATTCAGTAATAAAACGAGAATGACGTCACAGAAGGGCGATTCTGAGCGGGGATTGGGGCAAAATAAAAAATCCAAATTGTGCTGGACTCGTTTTTCACCTCGTATGATTCGCCTAGAACAGATCACGTGATAGGGAACAGTAGTTATATTCTCCAACAGAAATTGTTTTTTTCTTTCTTGTTAAAAATTTGGTCATAGTCGCAATTGGTATCACCTGGTCATACGTAATATGTAGTTTTTAATCTGGATTCTGTTTATATTTCTCTAATATCAGTTCTCGAAACACGCGTCTACACATTTAATGAGGTCTAAAAGGTCAAACGAGTCTTTCGGCAACAGTTTCCCGATTCCCCTGGATTGTTTTAGGTTTACATGTAACCAGAGATTTAAATTATTTTAAGTAATTTCTTTATTTGTCAAATTGTTCTGATGTAATCGTAGACTTCATTACCTGCCACATTGTGTGTGTCATTTCTCCCCTTAGCTTTCGATCAGAGAACTATTTATTTCGGAGTTAAAGCTATTCTGTTATAATTTAATTCTGTTTGAAACAAGCATTTCTACTGGTTTATTGTTTTATGTTATCAGCTCATAACATAAAGAAAAATGATGAAAGTGCTATACTTTCGAACGAAAGAACTGTTACAAGCGTTTTGATTGGATGATGTTAACACTTTCGTTATGACGTCGGCGTATTGATTGTTTTAATTGATTTTGAGTATTGCATCATTTGATGCGTGATTTATTAAATTTAATGTTTGAACATATTTAATTGTTTCTTTATTTATATTAGAATTACATCAAAAGTATAAACTTGAACGATTTTTTTGCGATATTCTCTTTTCATAAAACGCTTTGCGGTTTATTCAGATAACATTCCTTTTCTATGTTATGGCTCAATAACGTAAAAAATCATTCACGTTAATCCTTAAATGTTTATTATCTATACATTATTTATCAAAATTTCATACTTAAACGCCATACTTAAGTACTCAGTTGTAGTAAATTCATATATTGATTGATAAAGATGAAAATCATAGTTATAAAAAAATATGACGCTGCACGGCTTCATACAAGAATACGTATAGGCAAGTCATATTTAGATGCCCATCAATTCCCTAAGCAACATACTAAACAACTCTGACCGGTACAGATGTTACTAAACTACTGTGACTGGTACAGATGTTACTTAACTACTGTGACTGGTACAGATGTTACTAAACTACTGTGACTGGTACAGATGTTACTTAGCTACTGTGACAGGTACAGATGTTACTAAACTGCTGTGACTGGTACAGATGTTACTAAACTACTGTGACCGGTACAGATGTTACTTAACTACTGTGACTGGTACAGATGTTACTAAACTACTGTGACTGGTACAGATGTTACTAAACTACTGTGATTGGTACAGATGTTACTAAACTACTGTGATTGGTACAGATATAACTAAACTACTGTGACCGGTACAGATGTTACTAAACTACTGTGACCGGTACAGATATTACTAAACTACTGTGATTCGTTCAGATGTTACTGAACTACTGTGACTGGTACAGATATTACTAAACTACTGAGACCGGTACAGATGTTACTAAACTACTGTGATTGGTACAGATGTTACTACACTACTGTGACTGGTACAGATGTTACTACACTACTGTGATTGGTACAGATGTTACTAAACTACTGTGAGCGGTACAGATGTAACTAAACTACTGTGATTGGTACAGATATTACTAAACTACTGTGATTGGTGCAGATGTTACTAAACTACTGTGATTGGTACAGATGTTACTAAACTACTGTGACTGGTACATATGTTACTACACTACTGTGACTGGTACAAATGTTACTTAGCTACTGTGATTGGTACAGATGTTACTCAACTACTGTGATAGGTACAGATGTTACTACACTACTGTGACTGGGACAGATGTTACTTAGCTACTGTGATTGGTACAGCTGTTACTCAACTACTGTGATAGGTACAGATGTTACTACACTACTGTGACTGGTACAGGTGTTACTTAGCTACTGTGATTGGTACAGATGTTACTCAACTACTGTGATAGGTACAGATGTTACTACACTACTGTGACTGGGACAGATGTTACTTAGCTACTGTGATTGGTACAGATGTTACTAAACTACTGTGATTGGTGCAGATGTTACTAAACTACTGTGACTGGTACAGATGTTACGAAACTACTGTGAGTGATACAGATGTTACTTAACTACTGTGATTGGTACAGATGTTACTTAGCTACTGTGATTAGTACAGATGTTACTAAACTACTGTGATTGGTACAGATGTTACTAAACTTCTGTGATTGGTACAGATGTTAATAAACTACTTTGACTTGTACACATGGTACTAAACTACTGTGACTGGTACAGATGTTACTAAACTACTGTGACCGGTACAGATGTTACTTAACTACTGTGACTGGTACAGATGTT